GCAGGCATGGATCTGGAAATAGACCTGCCTCACCCTCATACCCACATCTAACTCCAGCCCACCAGAAAGAGTTTCTAGGAGAATTCATAAAGGCTTTTAGTTCATTTTGTGTCCACATAAATTTGGACAGTAAGGCACTATTTTCATGCAGTACATGTGCTAAATTTATCTTTCTTTTTATGAAATCATTTTCAGTTACCAGATAAATGTGCTGAAGATGAAATCTAGTATTTCTGTTAGTGAAAAAAGGGAAAGGAATTGAGGAATTCTTTCTACAATATCTATCTTGTTAGAGAGTATGGAGTCTTCTCATAGGATAGAAAAGAAGGTAATATGGACAGGAATTTACAAAGAAAAGAATTCCAATTAAAATCACTTTCAAAAGTTCAATGCTTTATCCAAATGAGAATACATTTTGTACCACTGTAGATATGGGTAGGAGGGGGGTATCCTCATGTAGGTGAAATATAGAACTTCTAAAGAAAAAGCCGCAGTTCACATATGCAAAAAGTTTAAAGAAGCACACACAGATAGAAAAGTGGGAGGCTTAAACGCTGATGTTATTTTTGACCTGTTATTCCCTTTTGCTTCCTCATCATCCATCTGATTAAAAACCGTATTGAATCTATGTCAGAAATGCTTTTCATATCTCACTTCTTTATGATCCCACTTCCACTAGTTTAGTTAAAGCTGGCTTTTATTTTCTATTCTTTGGTTAATTTAATAGTAATCCAGCATTTCTATTTACATCCAATTTTCCCCTGCTTGTCTTCATCCTAAACGCTCCTGCTCTAATGTTCTGTGATTCTTCCACATATGTACCAGTGCTAGAACTTGGGAGTAGATGACAGTGTTATCTTGGAGTTCAAGATACTTAAAATATGTAATTCTAAAAATAACTAGATATGATATTTCAATTTAGAAAAGCAGATTTTGAAATATTCTGGTGAAAAAATAGTTGTAAAACAATTGCTAGAAATGTACCAAGGGAACACAGCTAAAAGATATGTATTCCTACTATGTTCAACAATACTGATAACTTGAAGGTACAAAAGTCATGCTTGTAAAACAGGGATTACACAAAGCTGGGAAAGATACAAAGCGTGTTAAATAACAGAGTTAGTCTTTATCAGGATGTTGTAATTTCAAGGCTAGCATTTAGTTTATAAAATCAATTGGATAAAAATAAATACTTGAAGGTTTAATAAATGGCTCATGGACAGAGGGTTTGGCAGACACTGGTATGATATGATGGTGTAAAAATTTAGTGTGATCTTTGGCTATGTTAATAGAAGTAAAGTGCACATGAAGAAAAAAATATTTTACTATTTTCTGGTTTGATAACACCACATCAGTGGACAATAATGTTCAGATTGGGGCATATATTGGAAAGAAGAATGACAAATTAGAAATTGCACAAATATGACAGCTGGGATGATGAGGGGATTTGAAAACCTATGGAATGCATAACCAGGGGAAAGCATCATGCCTCTTTATTTTCTGTATTTCTGATGCTTTGATATCTGGGGCCTTGCTAGATACCTGGAGAGACTGCAGTTGCCAGAGCTAGCCAATTCCTAGACACAGCAAACACCCTCCTGAGAGCACTCTCAAATGTAAATCAAGCAATTCAGAGCTCTTAACCCCCCACTGCTTCCTTTATCAGACTCTCATGTGTTGAGGAACTATCTCCCTCTTCTAATCACCCCAGAGCCAAGTACCAGATGACTAAAGACAGCCCTTACACCCAGAACACACTGAAATTATTCAAAGTAGCGAATACTGAGCCTGCTTACCCTGTCTTGCTTACCTTTCCTGCAGAAACCACAATAAAGCCTCTTGCCCACATTTCCCCTTGCTTCCTCTGCCTTCTGAGCAACCCTGGTGCTTCCCTTTGTGGCCCTGCATCCATGGCACACTCCCTCTATTGGGAACTGTGAATAACTAATCTTTTCAATGGCAGTCATCTCCTGATCTGTGGGACTCACCATATCTGAATAATAATAATAAAACCTACATTTTAATACAGTAATGATAGAATCTTGAGGGCTAGAAAAAATATTTACTTTTATTTTTATTTAGCAAACACTAAGTACCTACTAGATGTCAAGCACCATTCTCCATACATGACTTACCTACAGTAGAAGAACTCCTTAATTAAATCTATATGACTTCCATACCTTTCCTTATAAATATACTGATTCTAGTCCCTTCCAAATCTTAAGATTGACTGATTGTCTTCTGGAGTGATATTCAAAATATCTACCAACCAGCATGCCATGCCACTGACCAATCAGAACTGCTGCCAGCTGGACAGCTGGAGACTCTTTCTGGGCCAGGTGCCTTTAGTTCATGAGTTATAAGGAGATTTGGAACACCTTGGGGAAGGATCTGATGTTGTAGTGGGGTAGGGGCAAAGTATTATCACATTTCGATATTGTAATAACTGGCATGGCCATACCAGTACTCTTAGTTGAATATTAGCCGTGATAATACATCCCTTAGCCATCTCTTTTATCTCTTGCCTTCTTGAATTTCCTTCAGTTATTCATTTTATGAAGTAAATTATAGACTTCATCATATTGGCCATTTTACTCTGAACAATGGCCAGTGTCTTTCTTAAACTGTGCTGCTTGGATTGCTCTAAAGTGGTTTACCAGCTTACTGGACTCTTTGCATCCTGACTGGAATTCTCTATTAGGATGCCTAGAATTATACATTGTGTTCAATATCAATAAAATGAAAATCTCATATGCCTTTTTATAAAGTGTATCACTGAAATAAAAGAGATAGTATTCATTCATTCTCTAGCTGGCAAGGAAACTAATTAAAAGATCATGATATATTCCTTAAGCCAGCTAGTCTTTCAATACATTTTAAATTACATTTTGATACTATAATCTTTATTTCCATATTGGAAAAGTTAACATGCTCACTAATCTAAAAAGTTTTATAATTGACAATAGACATTCTAGCTAATGTAAATCAACAGGTTCTGCTGTACTTGGAAAAGAGAGGCAAAAAGGACACCATTTAAAAGAATGATGATAATGCAATTACAAGTACAATCTTCAGTAAAATTTTGTTATCAGGAATACTGTTCTAATTTTAATAGTATTGTCTATAAAAGCATTAAATATCATCTGATATTGGCAAAGAATTCTATGATAAAAATACCTATTAACTATTTTATCATTAAAAATTTACCACCATTTTCCAAAATGTAGGTATAGTTCTTCAAATGAGAGTATATACCACTGAAGACTTTTTTGAGGTTTAAATAGAATATTATTTTACCTTTATAATGATATGTTATTCTATTTTCAAAACTATACAGTAGATATTTTAAATTTTGTTGTAGGTCATTATTAATGGTACATTTAATCTTTGTTTCAGAATTCATACCTTTCAAATAAGAATCCCCTGTTGAAATTTCGGTTTACCACCTGAATTAGTCTATATTTGGTAACCAAAAAAATTTTCCAATCAACTTCTAAAGCTGCATTTCCTGATGGCTGTAAACATCAAATGCAAGTTTGCTTAAAGGATTTACTTGACCTTTCGTAATAACCTAATAGAGCCTTCAAAAAATTAAAATTGATGTCAAAAATTTGTTTGTGAGTCAAATGTGTCTACATTGTGAAAAAGGATAGTAGATAAGATATATTTGTTAAAACTTCATAAAAATAGGTGTTTGGCTGTAGATGATGATAGCAAAGGCCAAAGCCCAAAAGTTTTAGATCGGAGTCTCAGATTCTTTTAGTTGGAAGGGCACTTCAAATGTCCTCTAACCCAGTTACCCATTTGAGTATTGCATCCATGACCTCCATTCTTGTTTGAACACCCATTTGCTCACAATATCAGCATGGAGGAGCACTATTCTTGCTTTCTTGACAAAATATCCATATATGGCAAAAGTGCACCTGAAGCTCTGTGTTTATTTTGGGGAGTAGATTAAAGCTAAAAGACAAATATGGGCTTCTGATGCCACCAAAAAGTATTTGGTCTTGTATATCCTCAAGAAAAAAAATATAGTGTATTAATTCTAACCCTGTCTTGTATATTTGAGTAAGGTACTGTGAGCACTAACTAAAACTTCCTAGCTCTAACAGTTGATGTAGAATACCATTCCACGTAAGTGTACCTCAGTACTCTCTCTGATCGCAAGCACATTTTTTCTTCATAATGTGCTAATTTAAACTTTTACTATAAATTTCCTTGTCCTGAATAATAAACCCTTCAGTATTAAACAGTGCACCTTGCTTCAGCAAAGGAAATATTCCATCCATAAAATATATATGCTTACAATGCTTTTAACTGTTTAGATTGAGTCTTTATTACCTCATGCAGTCATTATGCTCTCCTGCCTGGTCTTTTCCCTCAGCCTCATTTCATTCCAATTCATTCTGGAACCTAAGACTTGTTATTATTTCAGGATGTATCTAAAATCTCATTTCCATAAGAACCATCTTGGGCCATTCCCAGTGATACTTATTTCTTTGAACTATGGGTTTTGTGTCTGTATGGTTTGGCATTAGCTCATGAAAATGTATTTCATTTGTTGGGGAATTAACATGCATATTTCTGCCTCCCCAGTGCAGTAGGAAACTCCTTCTAGACAGGAGCCATGTTTTAGGAGCTCTGATCATAATGTCATGATACATCTTGTATCTTGTGAAGTTCCTCTTAAATTAGTTCCTCCAAAACATTAAGCATAGTGGTGAGAACTCAATACAAACTCAAGAGCCACATACTGAAAGGCAGCAATACCAAAATCTTCTAAATGATCATATGGAAAAGCTGATGGAGGGGGGTGGATAAAGCAAATCACCATGGCATGTTTATACCTATGTAACAATCCTACATGATCTGCACATGTACCCCGGAACTTAAAGTATTATAATAATAATAAAGTGTCACTATGCCACAATATAAGAACCTTTTCATTTCTTTAATCGGTGTACACTACTTCAATGCAACAGTCAAAGTGAGTTACTTACTAAGGCAAATTTTTTGTTGAGAATCATCTGCTCCACCAAAGATGACTCATTGTGGAAGAGGTGGGGCTGCATATGGCTCCACATGTGAGGAAACCACCAGAACTCATCCACAGACCCCAAAAGACAGTCATCCCCTTCATCTTCCTCTTCAGTTCCTTTGGGGGGGAAAAGATTATCCAATTAATTCCAGTTACCCTAATCTATGGATCTATGATCTATCAGTCAGTCTAATCTATTCTCATATATGTATTTAGAAGACATCATTTTTTCTGTTTTACACACATATAAGGCTGCCATTGAAAATATTGGAGGTGATTTTTATCCACACAGAAGGAACATCATAGAAGAACCCACTACTATGAGAGCTAATTGGATTCAATGCTGTGGCTAAAATTCAAGTGTGGCTGCATGGTTTTGTAATGACTAGTATCATGGACATGCTTGTGGAGAAAAATCTCCTCCCATATTTTCAGTTGCAGCTCTGATATGATTTGTTTTATTAGAGCCCTACAGGCTAAAGACAGAGAATGGACTGCTGCTCTGGACCAGTCAGCTAAACCCAGTTCCTGTTAACATTGTTTGTTCATTCAATTTCCCAAGAGAAGTTGGTGTGGAGGGTTGGCAGAGACTATTGGCAGCAAAAGAATCAGGTCCTATGATTTGGTGGGCATTGAAAACCTTTATTAAAGATAAAGGCATACTGTGAGGTTTCATGGTTATTATAATTTATACAGGAGAAACAAAGATTGAGTGCTATGGAGTGAGTGGAATAGCACAATCTTTCAACAAGGACAGTCTTCAGTTTCACTTTCATATGCTTAAGTACTCTACTGGATATGAAGGATCTTCCTCTCCCCTACATATAAAGATTACGTCTTTAAATCTAATATTTTATTTTCTGTATTTTTTCTTCTTTACATACACTTATGTTACCATTGTATGGTAGAACAAGTACAGCCTTTGGAGTTAGAAGTTTTTAGTTTATTGTAGGTTCCAACACATTTGAGTTGTATGGCTGAGTCACATGACCTCTTTAATGTCTGTATTGTAAAAAGATGGACAGCAATACCTATTTTATTTTTTGGGGGGAGGTAGTATTTAGATAATTCTAGCACATATTGGGTAACTTATAATGCCCCTTTCTTTTCCTCCTGTATTTCCTACTTCTGTTCTTATTGTGTTTCCTTGCATGTCGCCTTGGGTTTTTTTCCCCTCATAATACTACATGAAAGGAGGTAGTTTTCACATGTGCTATGTGGCAGAGGTGACATTATCTTCAAAAACTTACCAAGTGATTATGTTAACTCATTGGCCTGATTAATGAATGAGTCACCAGCATTCTTGGAGCTTCTGAGTGGTTATCTTATGGCTCAGGGAAGGATTATAGAGAGAAAGGCAAGAAAAATAGGAAGATGGATTCAGGGGTTTAGAAATTCTGATGATCCCAACCATAGCAGGTTCTTGGGTCCTACTAAATTTGAGGTGATAAATAAGGTGACCTTGGTAAAGAAACATTTTGTAGGCGTGACTGGTGATCTTAAACACATGTTTTGCTTGACATAAGAATGATGTCATTTAGTTTCCCTGCATTTAAACATCTATACTTCTATCCATGATACTCCCTGTTGCTTAACATTTTGTAGTCTCCAGGATGCTTTATTAGCGTCAGTTATTTGTTGCCATTTTATTTTCTCACACTGAGAGCAGGCTGAGTCTCTTGGAGTTTCCCAGTAATGGACTCATTCCTGATTTCCACATACCCAGCAATGTCAGTGAGCTAAGATTCCCTAGTTGATGAGAAATATCCTCTCCTCCTGCTTTTAACCTCTATTCCCTGTTGCCTATAATTCCTGTCTTTTCTTGCAACTTTCCTGTCATCTTTCCTTTATTTTTTTTTTAGTTGGCCTCTGTTCAAATTTATCAGAACAGAGCAGCAGATCTCAGGATTCTTTGAAAAGATAGCTCAGGCATTTGTCGTCCTTTCCTGAATATCATGGTGAAATCTGTGACTAAAATATTCATACATTTGAATCATGCAAGAGTTAGACAGATGATGTCTGCCTTCTGACATATTTGTCTCAGTTCATAGTAGGCATAATTTTATGTCTTTTCTCTTTATACATTCATCTTTCTTTTAATCCTACTTTGAGAATGTTTTACATTAGAATTACATTGAGAACAAGTATCTGTTGCTTATTACTTTGAAAATTATGATTAAAAAGCAGTTGAAATATAATTAACTGTGGGTTAATTACATTTGCTTGGACTGTTGTGGCCTCTTGCCACCCCTTTTCTTCCCCACTTTGCCCACCTTTGTCAGAACTGGAGGAAGAGAGAAGAATGAGAAGTCAAATTCCTCAATTTTAAGTGCCATTTCTTTCTTTGTTTTGGGGGTAGGGGAAGAAGCAGATTGTATTTATTTTATTTACTTTATTTTCAATCTTTATTTTAGATTCAGGGTGGACATGCAGGTTTGTTGCCTGGGCAGACTTCATGATGCTGAGGTGTGGGGTATGAAATATCTTGTCACTCAAGTAGTGAGCATAATAAACAACAGTTTTTCAGCCTTCACTCTTCTCCTCTCTCTGCCATTCATCCCTAGTGTCTATTGTTGCCATCTCTATGACCATGAGTACCCAATGTTTAGTTCTCACTTATAAATGAGAACATGTGGAATTTGGTTTTCTGCTCTTGCATTGATTCACTTAGGATAATGGCCTCCAGCTGCATCTATGTTGCTGCAAAGGACATGATTTCATTCCTTTTTTTATGGCTGTGTAGTATTCCATGGGGAATAGGTATCAGATTTTCTTTGTCCAATGCACCACTGATGGATACCTAGGTTTATTCCACATCTTTGCTACAGAGACTAGTGCTGTAGTGAATATGTGAGTACATGTGTCTTTTTGGTGGAATTATTTGCTTTCTTTGGATATATAATATATCCAGTAACGGGATTGCTGGGTTGAATGTTAGTTCTAAGTTCTTTGAGAAATTTCGAAACTACTTTCCACAGTGTTAAGTGCTATTTCTTGTCACAAAACTATGTTGAAACCACATAAAGTTATTGAAAACTATAATTTATTTTATTATATTTATATAAATAACTTGGCTCTATACTATTTTATCTGTAGTGTTTCCTATTCTGATATTATATTTAAAATCATCATTGAGACAGCATTGTGTCAAGCACTGTGTTGAGTACTTTACAAACATCATTTCATTTAATTCTCCAAACCTCCTGAGGTAAGGGCCACTGCAAACCTCATTTTACAGATAAGGAAATTGATATTTAGAGAGGTGAAGTAACTGGTTCCATGTCACTGAGAGGTTTGAGACAGAACTTGAATTCAAATGCTGACTCCTAACTCAGATTGAGCAACTCCAAATTTAGGGCCCTTAGCTATCATTCACTGGCCAAACGTGGAGTCTAGAAACAAGACCAGCACTTACTCATTCAATATAACATTGCTCTTCCCACTGTTAATTTATTCTACAGTATAATTAGAATATACAGGTACCATTGGATCTCAGTGATTTGGGGAAATACAAAAAACTAACAAACCTATAAATAAGGAGAATCTTTTGCTATTCAGCTTCCTTAATCAAGGATGGGTTAAGATTAATTTTTTTTTGACACTTCGTTAGCTATGTGACCTTGGGCCCCTCTAAGTTTCTATGTTCTTACCTAGAAAATAAGTTAACACATTCTTTAACTTCTAGAATTCAGTAAAAAGGAACATGAGAAATGCTTAACAAAGCACCAAAAGAGAACTATGGTTATTAATTTTTTCATCCCTTTATTTCTCAGATAAATGCACATACCCTTCAAAAATTAAAATAAACAAGATAAAGCTTTCTCTGACATAAAGTATTACGATTATGACAATGCTACTTTTCTTTTTCCCTTCAAGATTGAGTAAAATGGATAGAATTTTTTATAGAAAAAGGAATAGCAATTTCTTCATTTATAAAGGAAGACAATGTAATTCAATTATATTTTATCCCTTCTCATTTTTGAAAGATCAAGTATTAAATTTTGTATCTATTCCCTCTAAAAAATGATTTAACTGGTCTTAGCCCTGGCTACAGTTTTGTGGAAGCTCTCATATTATACACGGATAACAAGACCCCTTCAAACCTTGGCCTCCGTTTCCACCTGTGTTGTACTTTCTCTGCCTTGGGGAGAGGATACTCTTATTATGAGCTATTGGAAATGCCCAAGTTAAGAAAGAGGACAAGCCTTGCAGAAATGAAAAGGAATGACATGAATTGGCCAAAATCATTCCCCAGTATTCAGCAATAGGCAAAAAAATAATGGAGTTGCCGGGAGCGTTTTCTTATATTTATTAAGCAAATCTGGGCTGTCCTGGTTTTGCTATGATGTCTCTTCCTATTATCTCCCTCTCCTGCTAAACACATCACATATTTCACCTTAATCTTGCCTTGGTGATTTTTTTATCCCTATGATAATTTTATTCTATTCAATGGATGTCAAAGAATCTAAGATAATCATCCTGAAGTTAGGATATCCTAACCCGGAAATTTAGAAAGAGGTTATGGGTAGCCTTCTGTTTCCTTAAGCTCTTGGGGCTCTCCATTGTGAAAGGTACAAGTCTAACTTAGCTAGAAAGATGAACTGAGCTTCTGCACATAAAGTTCTCACTTCATATATCTATTGCCAAGATAGCAGAAGTTTCCTATAAGCAAAATATTTAAAATAGATCTCTAATTATGTTTTCATCTTTGAGGTTTCATTAAGAACCAATTCACTGAATCATACAACAAAGTCAAACATGATCATGAGGTTCCCGGGTGTTAATATTTAAAACAATCACAGAAAAAGTATATTTTACATATTGATCTAAGAAATTCAGGGGAATAAAAGCTTCAGAGCTTCTTATGTTAAAGGTATTCTTAAATAAAACCCACAGAATTTTCAAATTGATAGGTGAAAGTTACATGTAATTGTATGATTATACATATTGTATTCATTACACAGTTGTACAATAGAAAAACACTATAGTCAAGTCTCATGGTTCTATAACTTCCATGGAAACAAATGGAAATTTACTTTAGAAATACAATATTACTTCTATCTAAAAATGGAATTACTACTTATGTTGTTTATGTGCATATGGAAATCATGTTGACGTTAGTAATATATAGATAAAATTCTTAGCGTGATATGTTTATTAAACCCTTAAGGGTACTCATCAAATACATACAAAATAACTCTTGCTCATATTATCAATTTTAAATTTTGAAAAGCATTTGCAATTGTAGAAAATTGATAAACTTGCTTAAATATTATATCACTTTAAAAAATTACTTACATGTTTATTCATTTAGATCTGACACACATAAAATGCAAAGGCCCAGAAAAAATTTAGTAAAAAGTAACTTTCATCTCTCTTGTTTGATTCTCAAATTCTCTTCTTCACTAATATGGTTTGGCTCTGTGTCCCCACTCAAATCTCACCTTGAATTGTAATAATCCCAATGTGTCAAGAGTGGGTCACATGGAGATAACTGAATCATGGGGGCAATTTCCCCCATACTGTTCTCATGATAGTGAATAAGAAGTCTCACAAGATTTAATGATTTTATAAATGGGAGTTAGCACAAACCCTCTTGCCTGCCACCATGAAACACACCCCTTTGCTCTTCCTTCATCTTCTGCCATGATTGTGAGGCCTTCCCAGCCATGTAGAACTGTGAGTTCTTTAAACCTCTTTTCTTTCTTTTTTTTTTTTTTTCAGGAATATTGTTTAAGCTTAATTTTATTTTTAATTGATAAATAATTGTACATATTTATGGGCTACAATGTGATGTTTTGATACATATATATATTTTGAAACAATCAAATTAGGTAATTAGTATGTTTATTACCCAAAAGATTTATCTTTTTTTTTTTTTTGAGATGAAGTTTCACTCTTGTTGCCCAGGCTCAAGTGCAATGGCACAATCTTGGCTCATGGCAACCTCTGCCTCCAGGGTTCAAGCGATTCTCCTGCCTCAGTCTCTTGAGTAGCTTGGATTACAGGCATGTGCCACCACAGCAGGCTAACTTTGTATTTTTAGTGGAGACAGGAGTTTCTCCACATTGGTCAGGCTGGTCTCTAACTCCCAATCTCAGATGATCCACCCACCTTGGCCTCCCAAACTTCTGGGGTTACACCTCTTTTCTTTATAAATTACCCAGTCTCAGATATGTGTTTATTAGCAGCATGAGAACCGACTAATACATTCATGGATATTCCCTCCTATCAGTTTATTATGAATTGTTTCATAGATATCCCATACCTGTATGAATAGCTCTGTGACTGTGGTCAAGTTACTTAGCTACTCAGTAACTGAGTTTTCTAAGCTATAAATTAAGAGTTCTATACATGGAGTTGTATAGCTTTCACCTCCTCCTTTATTTTTATACAAATGGGAATATATTCTAATCACTGTACTATACCTTGATTTTGTATAGCTTTTACATTCTATTTTATTTTTATATAACTGTTCTAATCACTGTACTATACACTGATTTTTCAGTTTCTTGAGAGGTCTTTCTGTATGGTTTACGTTTAAAATTATCTCTTTTTAATGACTGCAGAGTATTCCATTTTATGAGTATACCAATAAATGTAATCTGTTTTTTTTTTTAACTTCTAAAAATACAGATTAATTCTTTCAATCATGAAATTGTGTTAGACTAACCTGAGGCAAGTCAAAATATCTTTACTCATTTTAATTATGTTTGTGAAAAAACTTTTTAATTATTCTCAATATTTAGAGTGATCTCTTTTCACATTTAATAGAGGAATCCGGAATCAGAGTCCACAGTTATATGGCCATAAAATTTATGATAATAAGACACTATGAAGCAGTTGGGAAGGATGGTGTTTTTAACACAGAGTGCTAATTAGATTTTTTTAAAGAGACAGAGTTTTGCTCTGTTGCTCAGACTGAAGTGCAGTGGCATGATCATAGTTAATTGCAGCCTAGACCTTCAGAGCTCAAATGATCCTCCCATCTCAGTCTCCCAAGTAGCTGGGACTACCAGGCACATGTCACCATGTCTGACTGACCAATTAGATATTTTTATGAAAAAAAGAAACTATACTGACCCCTATCTGATATATATACCAAAATCAATTCCAGATGTATCACAAATTTATAAATTGAGCAGCTTGGGCAACACAGTGAGACCCCTTCTCTACAAAAACATCGTCCAGGCATGGTGGCATGGGCCTGTAGTTCCAGCTACACAGAACGCTGAAGTGGGAGGATTGTTTGAACCCAAGAGGTTGAGGCTGCAGTGAGTTGTGTTTGCACCACTGCACTCTACCCTGGGCAACAGAGCAAGACCCTGTCTCAAAAAGAAAAAATGTCATGATCTGTGGTAGGCAAAGATTTCTTAAATAAGATAGAAAAGGCTGATCATTTAAAAAATGATAAATTGAACAACACTAAGTATTTTTGTTCATTAAAAACACCATAAGGAAAATGAAAAGACAGCCAAACAGCAGGAGAAAGTACTTGCAGCATGTGGAACTGTAAAAGAAGTTCAAGGAAAGAATTTCTACAAATGATTAAGTAAAAGCAGAAAATCCAGATACTTCTCAAGAGAGGATATCCAAATAGCCAGTCAACATATGAACAATTATCATTTACTGCTCCTCAGAGAAATATACATTAAAACCCTAATATGATATTTCTACATGTTCACCAGAAAAGCTAAAATTAAAGAGACAAACAATATAAAATATTAACAAGCATAAAGAGCAAAAGGAACACTCATACTATTGGGAACATAAACGGGTACAACCATTTTGAAAAATACTAAAGCTAATTATAAGTGTGCCACATAACTAGCAATTCCATTAATAGTTGATGATTAACAGAAAAGAATATTCAAGTCATCTGAATGACAGGTATAAAAATGTTCATAACAGGACTATTCAGTAAAACCCAAAGTCTGGAAACACCCAACCATCTACAGTTGAATGGACTAGATAAGTAAATTTTCTATGTTCAAACAATGGAATACCATACAGCAAGGAAAAGGAAAGAATTGTAACCTATAGACAATAACATCTATGAACCAAAAATAATGTTGTACAAAATGAGCTGGATACAGATGAATCTTTATGATTCCTTTTACATATCTCTCAAAGTCAAGCAAAATTAATTCATGATATTAGAAGTCAGGATACTACTGTTCTTTGAGAGAAGCTAGTTACTGTGAGGGGCTCAAGAAGTGGAGATTTTGGAAGTGTTCTCTTTCTTGATCTGCCTGCTGTTTACACAGCTGTGTACACTTTGAAAATTCACTGAACATCACATTTACTATTTATGTACTTTTATATATGTAAATTATAATTCAATAAAAATGAAAAGCCATCAGATAGTGCCATAAACTTTTAAACCATTAACATTTTACAAAAATTAAAAAAATAGCATGTTAAATGGAATTGAATTATAAAAAGTTGAGGAGGGACATAGGGAATGTAGGAAGGTGTGAGCAGAGTGTGCAATTTTAAGTAGAGTTCAGAGAGATCTTAATGAGAACAGTTAATCCTTTTTTCTTACCTGTATGATAAAATTTCCCTGAAAATCCCAGGTTGAATGTAAAATTTGTGATTTGTGCACGCAGAAGATTCTGAGTATCAAGCAGGGCCTGAAATACATAATTTAAAAAATACATCAGGTAAAGAATGGCATTAAAAAGTTTTCAAAAGATATCTCCTTTTTGCATTCAGAGGATAAAACCAGTTCATTATATATGTGAGAATTAAATGAGGGAAAATAGTTTCGTTATCACTTTAAAAGCAGAGAGATACTTTCAAAATTACATGAAACACATACTTTTTTTATCCTTTAGCTTGCAATAAATCAGCGAAAAGTGTCAGTTGGAAAAAGGAAGTTAAATGAAAAGAGAAGTTTATTCTGCATGTATCAAAGGAACTAGTATCTAAATATCTAAATATATAAAATATATCCAGTTTACCCTTCAGGCACATGGATCACCAATTGTCAAAAGAAGGGCACTCGTTTTAAATGAAGCTATGCAATAACATATGTTGAAAGAAACAGACTATTTCTCAGCAAATCTTTGGTATTTAAAATCCAAATCTGAGATTCCCAAAAGATAATGATTGTTATTCAAAAGGAGATATCATGATAAAGTAGATCTCTAATTTGCCCTTTCATTAAAAAAACAGACAAAATATCCCACTTCTAATAAGTGAAGCTATTTTGAATTAGAGTTTTAATTGTTGTATCTTATAAAATATTTACCATGCTGAGTATTTAATGTACTTTTCTTTCTTCTTTTTTCTTTCTCAGTCTTACTTAAATTCTGATTCTTATATTCTTCCTCTGTCTCCCTCTCTGTCTCCGTCTCTCATTCACACACACATACATTTTACACATATACACACACAAAATAGTTGAGTGCTCACTTCAACTAGGCAGAAAGTAGTGCTGTTAGATTTATAAATGATCTTTCATAGATAAAATTAGTGGTAGATCCTAGCTTAAGGATATAGATCCAAATTAGGTGCTCCTTTTACGCTACCACACCTTATCTTCTGCCTTTCCTTAGTACAGTTGGGCCCACAACTAAATCTTATTTTCTTAATCATGATTCTGACATCTGGAAAGTCTGCCTCATCATGTTCATGGTCCCAACTTTTTTGGAGCATAAGCAGATATACAGTTTTTTATTCATTGAATACTGCATGATTATATGCTTTATCTGAATGCAAGATATTCTTCCTGATTGTAAAAGCAGAGGAAGAGAATTTCTGGATTCAAATTTAAACTTATCTAGCCAATGTAAGGTTTTGAAATTTAGCTATCTAATTCTTTTTGTATCACTACTCTCTTAACATGACCAAGATTTTTGGTGTGCACAACTGAACCATGTAATGTGTGCATTCTAATGACACTCAAAAATAGAAGACAGGCCTATTGGTGGATCTCTACACCTAACTATGGGAGCAAAAGGATTAACTGACATCAATGTCATCAGGGACAAGTTAGGTCCTTACAAGGTGGGGCATGGGTTAGGTGGGAGAGGGGGGATCCAGCCAGCTGGGCATGATGAAGTTACAAATGGGACTTCTAGGTCAGATGCTGGACCCTGGTGTGGGCAAGGATGTGCCTAGGTGTAAAGTATTTAGTATACATATATAAGTGTGTGTATATGTATACTACTGACAGTTATAATACACACACATTTTGTGTGTGTATGTATATGTATCCTGCTGACAATTGTATCTTCCCTTTCTTTCTTCTCCCCGTCTTCTTTCTCAATTATTTTGTTCCCCAGTTGAACATTCTAGCCTGCTCTTCCTATCTTTCCTTCCCCTTAGATCATATCTTTGTTCTTTTTCCATTTTAACTTACTTCATTTCAGTCTCTTATTTTTCTTCTTTCAGTGGTTAAAGTATAGATGCCAAATCTATTTGAAGATTACTTTTTTGTGTGTTCAATGTTTTAAGTCTTACAGTTGGTAAGATGAATATTATTTCTTTTTGCCTTTCTTTTTGTTCAAATTAAATTTGAATTTGAACTTTGCTTTATGATCTTTGATTGTATTTTTAATGTACATTTGCAAAACTTGATAAGAAAAACTATATATAAGAAACCTGTCCTGTTCTAGGCCCAGAAGCTAAATAAAGTTCCTGTGAACTAACCTCTCAGTCAACTAGAATACAATGATTTAAATTACTAAATTAGCCCAGAATTTGCAGATTTGAGTTGCCATTTTACATATTTACTTAATATTCTAGAAACAAACACTACAACACATAAAAGATACACTGAAACAGATGGCAGATACTAATTATGCCTATATATGGTAAAGAGGGGAAATTTATTTCTAGGTGATATTTTATATACTTAAGCAGTGATATTTGTCATCTTTTATGTTGTTTTTATAAACCAGATTTTGTGGGCATTTGTGAGAACAATGTTATATATTCATCTATTATTTCCACCTTTTCAAAATATATTTATTACTGGCCTAGCCCTTGCAAAAAGCTTAAACACCCAGCAATATTCTTAGATCATATCCATTTCACTAAACCCTTCATTACTAGAATGATTTGATTCAGCATTATTCTATTTTAAACTGAAATAGTCTACTCATTACTATGAACAAAATATAAAAATGATGTAAAATTATACATTATTCTGTATATGCAACATGCCTAAAATGGGGTGATCATATCTAAAAATCTAATGTAATAAGTCAGTGCTCCACCACCACAGTCAGAAAACCACATGTATTCTGGGCAAGCACAACCTGTCTGACAGAGTACTGTGGCCATGGAGAAGGTAAGGAATCACGACTGTCTGAAGAGGTACAATTTAGTGATCACCTCAAACACCAATCCAGGAACCCTAAGAACATAGATTTCTATCTTCAAAAGTGGTTTGATTATTGAAAAAAAATGGGACTTTTGTTTTTAATTATTCAAAAATACTGTATTATATATAGGAAGGTAATTTAAAATTCCATGTATCAATGGTTATTTTTAAAATAACATATTTTTTCTAATTAAAAATAATTAAAATCACTAAAAAAGTATTACAATGTGTTTTCTTTCCATTTTTCTCAATAAGTAAACAAATCTATATATCTGTATTACAGATATATAGGTAAATTGGTATCATAAAATAAAAATTGGAGCTATACCAATCAGGATTAAAAATAAAGAGTTTTGAATTTTTCATTTAACAGTATATCATGATCTTTCTCCTATCACAATCTTTCAAAACCAAATTTTCTAAAGTATGCAGAATATTGTATCAAATGAGTATACTATAATTTACCCATTTTATCTTAATGTTGTATATTTAAGTTGTTTGCTTTTTTGACTAATAAATACTGCTCTGTGTATCAATACATATTTATATAGTTATAAACCTTATAACCATGTTTTGGACAACAGTGTAGCACATATATCATGGTGGTCCTAGGTGTGTAGCAGGCTATACTATCTAGGTTTGTGTAAGTATACTCTGTGATGTTTGCACAACAACAAAATTGGCTAACAACACGTTTTTTAGAGCACATCTACATCATTAAGCCGCTCATGACTACAGCAATGAAGCAATCATTTCTACAGCAGAAAATAATTCTGTGTATCCTTTAGCAAACAAAACATTTGAAAATGCTTATCAGAGTGTTACAAGAGAATAAAATATGCAATTTAATTATACAATAATTGCATTTCAAATACAATTTAACATAAAAATTTCAAAATTATCTTCCAAATTTTAATATGTGTGCTACCCCGTTAACTTTGTTTCTTTTTCAAGTCTTCATTCTGCAAAGCTAAGAAAGTTTGCAGGCATTAAAATATCTAGTCGAAGACAAAAAAAGATCTAATTTAAAGAAACTGAGTTCTGAGAACTGAGCAAAATGATAGCCTTCGCCTTTTCTCTAACTTTGGTTAGCAGAAGAAATCATCAAATAGATGAAGAGGCAGAAAATAAAAGTAATTGCAAGGAAGTTTTACATGAAGATTTATGTTAGTGTTCATGACGTGTGGCATTCTTGGAATGTCTTGATAGTTTTTTGTTTCTTATTTGCGCTTCTTAGATTATATTTTGACCTATGTTAACAGACAAAAATATTTTTAAGCACAGTACTTTAATATTTTAAAATCAATCATATACTATTTAGATATATAAATGTCTATATTTGCTAGAGTAAATGAAATCAACTGGGCAGCTGATGATAAGCTCCTATGCCTACGTGTCTGTCTGCACACACACGTACATGCACATACACCTCCTCCAGGTGTCAGATATACTTAGTGTAATAGAGATTACTGTTCCCATTTCAGAAGTGGTAGACATCATTTACATAGTTTAAGTGGCTTTCCCTTGGTCACAAAGCTATTTAAGAGCTAAAGAAGTGATTTAAACAAGGATTTTAAACTGCTTCTGTTGTCCATGGAAACAACAAAATACCAACATGAACCCTATTATCACTGATATACAGAACTGTGGTGACATAATCTTCCAGAAAGGAACACAAGGATGCTCTTTTTTTCCACTTTCACTATGTAACTGTCACTTTGTGTTTTCAAAGCCTAAAGGTATGAGGGCAATGGGAAGACTAGGTTGGTCAGTGAATAGTTAGCTATATTATTTAGGATTTTCCAGAGATAAAACCGACTGGAAATAGATACGGATATAGATACAGGAGGACATTTATTATAGGATTTGGCTCATGTGGTTTTGGAGGCAAGCTGGAGAACTAAGAAAGCTGGTGATATAATTTAATTTGCATCTGAAGGCCTGAAAAATTGGTGGTGGTGGTGAGTGATGGTGTAAGTGCCAGTTTGAAAGCCTGAAGCCAGGGGTACTTATGTCTGAGGCAGATAAAGATGGACACCTCAGATCAAGCTGAGATAGTGAATTTGCCCTTCCACCACCTCTTTGTTCTATTCAGGCCCTCAGCAAATTGGATGATGCCCACCACATTGGGGAGGGCCATCTACTTTACTCAGCTCACCAATACAAAAGCTTACTTCTTCCAGAAACACTCCCACAGACACACCCCAAATCATGTTGTGGCAGCTACATGGGCATCCCTTAGCTTAGTTACATTTACACATAAGATTAGCCACTACACCAGCCAAACTAGTAATGTATACC